AGTCGGTCTAATGTTCATATGAAACAAAAATTTAGTATTATGACCTTATAATAAGATAATTTTCAGGAAATCTGTATTAATATTCCAACTGTTGACTGGTATACTTCCAAAAATTGTAAAAAGTTGGACTCTAAAATATTTTTGTAGTTCTTCATAAATTTTATGACCAATCCATCAAATTGTAAGAGTTATATTTTGGAACGCATTAATCCTTCAACGAAATAAACAAAAATAATGTTACATATTTTTGTATTTATTGAAATTACCTGTTATACTTTAGGAAGCGTAATGAAATAAGACATATATAACTTATCAGATCCCTTTTTTATATCTGAATTCGGTTAGAAGTATTTTAATAGGGAGTAGAATATTACTGCATTCTAAAAAAATAAAATAATTAAAAATTAATTAATTAATTAATTTATTTATTGTTTTGAATCAATAAAAACATTACCTTTCATGGATTATTTTTAAAATTATTTACAGTCACTAACGATAGAAACACCTTAACGACCCTAAACGGGATATTGCTTTTGACACTAATACTACAATACTATTTTTGTTTGCTCTGTTCTAATTAAGGGGTTATACACTTTCAAAAACTTAAGAATATTAGTATCATATAAAGGTCATAGAAAGACCTGGTGTTAATAACTAAAAAAGTACCTATAATTAGAATAATTAAATCCAAAGCTATATGAAAAATAATAAAATTGTATTTAAAAAAGGTGGTTTTAAAAATATTTGATTTTAATATTAAAGATTTTATATGGGCAATTTTGTGTCAAGTGACCCAAGTCAAAAAATTATTTATGTATAAATTTGAATATAATGATTCCAGCTAGCGTTTAAATACTTTAAGTAAAATTTTAATGTATTTTTTTTTGTTATGATAATGAAATACAAATAAAATTTTAGCTCAAAGTGATCATACGTAATCTAGAAATAGGACCTAAACGCGCAAATAGTTTAAAAATATTGAATGTTAAGATTTAACTCAAATAAATCTAAATAGGTTAAAAATGCAATGTTCATCAAATGAAAGCCGAAATGTACATCTTGAAAAAGTCTTTAAATGCTTATAACTCCTAAACCAATTAAGAGAGAGACGAAATTTAATATAAAAACATTTTTAATTAAACATATTAGACTTCGTTTAAAAATAATGGAAATGGAAGCCGTTTAGAGTTATTAACTTATTCCTAAAATAGTATTTTAATGTAAAATATGACAACTTACTTTTTAATTTTTTTTATATAATCTTTGAAGATAATTACTTTTTGGTATATATAAATAATAAACTTCACCAATTAACAAAACCTTCTTAAATATTTATTAACAATTGACTTTTAACACAACACTGTCATATTGTGTTTTATTACTTAAGATTTACAATATATTAATTACACTATTTTCCTATGAATATTAAATTCAATAGCTCATTTAAGTTTTACAATGAATAATTAAAACTGAACATGACTGGACAAAACACAAAACATCACTGAACTTAGAAAAATTTCTGCATTATTTTTTTTTGCGTTCACGCTAAAAAATAGAGTATTTATATTTTTTTGTTTTTGTACTTTTCTTACTAGAAACCTAAAAGTATACTTCCAGACGGCGAAAACTAGAAATCAATTGTCCAATTGACAAGCCTGGTGTATCTACGTATCGTGTGTATTTTTGTATTAGTTTACTCTTGTGTATAAATGCTGTTGGTAATTTCAATTAAAAAAGCTCGTATAACTTTACGTTTATTTTTCATATGTTTATTTATTTCGTATTCAATGTCAAACTATCATTCTCATGTGAATGCCCAATTTTAAAGAAGATAAAACAGAAGAAAAATAATTTCATAAAGTAAACATTTAAGAAAGTGCGTTAAAGTGAAATAAAATGAAAAATAATTCATATTTGTGCTATAATTAATTTAGTTTTTCAATATAATTGTATTTTTATAAATATTGAAGATGTTTTTCTTTCTTTTTTACAATATGGCTTTTTACAATACAATTGGCTGTTCACAAGCAGATATCGGAATTCTGTATTTTAATAAACGATACAAAATACAAAGACCTGTTGTGAATTGGACAAATGTGTTTTGCTTTTGTAAAATGTGTGCTCTTGTCTGACAATCGTACAGAAGTGACTACAATCCACACTTCCAGATGAATAAAATACAACATTAATGTGAACACTCTTCAAACTGTCTTCCAGAAGTGACATAAACATACAAATCAAGAAGATACAAATTAGGAAACAATGTATTTTGTTATTGTAAAATGTGTGTTCTCACCCAACTCTCATTCAAAAGTCACTAAACGTGAAAAAAAATTCAACAGTCATGGTTTTTTGTTTAAGCAAAATGGATGCACTCTTCTAACTATCATCCGGAAGTAACTTAAAAGTATATTTCTAGAAGACGAAAATTCGAAATCAATGTATTTTGTTTTTGTAAAATGTGCGTTCTCGTCTGCCAATCGTCCAGAAGTGTTTCTGACGTGGCGTCTGGGGTAATGCGCAATAGTTTTGTCTTCTAAATGTTTGAAGGGACAGTACATCTTTGAACAAATACTTTATACACATACGCTAAAAATGTACGTAGCACACTAACATTGTTTTTAATGTTTCTGGACATGTACACTAACAGAGTACGGTACATTATATTTGTTCGTGATGTGCACAAACATTAAAAATAAGGTACAGTGCACTTTCCATGTGCGCTAAGTTTAAGGTATTTTTAGCGTACTTTTAGTGCACTATTTTATTTTTGAATGGACAAATGACAATGAAACATAAGTTAGAAAATTTAATTGATTTTTTAAGCATTTTGGATCTTTTCTAAATCTGTTTGGGTGTAATTTTTTGTAATATTTCATAAAATGCATTTTTAGCATCGATGTAGAAAAGATTATAATCTATATATATAAAAATGAAAGTGTGTTTGTATGTATGTATGTATGTTTGTTTGTGCTTTATAGACTGCTAAACGGCTGGACCGATTTTCCTGAAATTTTCACAGTTTCTTCATGTATGTCTGGAAGGAATTATAGGCTACTTTTTATGTTGAAATTTCATGTGGGCGACGTGCCACGCCCATATTAAGAAAATATTAAATTAGTATATCTGAGATAATATAATAGTTAGAGTCTTCAAATTTTGTCGGAGCAACTTAAGTATCAATATAATTATTTAAGACAAAAAGTGGGCGGATTAGCATTAGGTGGCGTGGCACCTCCCATATAAATTAAATACAAAAATTTGTTTATCTTGGAAACTATTATAGTTAGAATATCAAAAATTTGCACGAGTAACTTTAACATTAACATGTAAACATTTTGGGAAATAAATTGGCGGACTACCCATGAGGGGAGCAGCACCTCCCATATTAATAAAATACACAAATTGGTTTATCTGGGAAACTAATAGAACTAAATTATTCAAATTTTGCACTAAGAACTTAAATATTCATCTAAACATTTTGGAGAAAAAAGAGCGGACTTTCGTCGTGGGGGCCTTGGAGCCCCCATATAAATTAAATAGTAAAATTATTATATCTGAGAAACTATTAGAGCTGGAATCTTCAAATTTTAATTGAAGAACTTTGACATTCATGTGAACATTCAGAGAATAACGGGCGGACTTTCAATGGGGAGCTTGGCACCTCACATATGAATTAAATACAAAATTTCGCTTATCTGGGAAACCAATAAAACAAGATTCTTCAAATATTGCAAGAAGAACTTTATTATACATATGAATATTTTGGAGAAAAAAATGGCGGACATTCATCTGGGGGCTGTGAGTTCCCATATGAATTAAATAGAAAAATTCGTATATCTGAGAAACTATTAGAGCTAGAATCTTCAAATTCTACATGAAGAACTTTGACATTAATGTGAACATTTAGAGAATAACGGGCGGACTTTCACTGGGGTCTTGGCACCCCCTATATGAATTAAATACAAAATTTCATATATCTGGGAAAATATTAGATTTTTTTTTAATTTGTGATCGATTACATTAATATCTTAATTAACGTTCGGAAAAAATGCATCTCTGGGAAACATTACAGTTAGAATCTTCAAAATTATTAAGAAGATTTTTTATTTATATTGATTTTACTGGGTATAGCTAGTAAGGATATAAAACAAGTTAGAGTGCTAAATTTCTGCTGTGCCGAATATTCACCATAAAACTTTATAATATGCATTAACCGATTAATAAAGTCTATATAGCAGTTATGTACTTATTATCCTTGTTAGCCATGGGCTATCTAACTGTTTATATTACTTATTGAAATAGTTTATTTTTAAAAACTTCATGTTTTTAAAATATTTCAATTAGGTATACTATAACAGGTAATTTACTAATGCAAATTTAGATAAGATCTACCTGAAGCATAAGCAAAAGTGAGAAAGGGCTTAATTTAATTATACATAGGTAATTTGTATGTTTAGAAATTAGATAAATAATAGAAACTACCTGTAACTCCTAAATTTAAATTATCTTTGTACTTAAGCGAATGTCAAATCTGATTATAGTTTAGTCGAGAACATCATTTCAACATAATAACAAGATATGTATGTACAATTGAAGTGCTTTCACAAAATTAAATTTTAATAAATATACAAAACATATAACAATGGGTAAGTAATTATATAAAAACTGATTAAAAATATATTAAAACTTTATTTATTTTTAGAAATATATTAACAAATATAAAATTCAATATGCCAAAACTACGAAAACAATAATCTGAACAACGTAGACAGCGTGTACGTGAGGCTGGATTCAACTACTATGAACGGAAAAGGGAAACTCACAGATTGAGAACTTCTCAAAGGAGCGCAACATTATGGCAAAACGAGGAATATCGTGAAAATGAACGTCAAAGAGACCGGATACTAAGATCCTTAAGAAGATCAGGATCAGCTTATAGGAATAATGAACATTCTTCACGGCGCAGAGAAGATGAGAACTTTCGTGAGACTGAAAGAATGCGGGATGCTTTAACACATTCCTCTCGTCGTGAAGATGAGAATGTTCGTGAGTCTGAAAGAGTCCGGGATGCCTTAGCACATTCCTCTCGTCGTGAAGATGAGGCTTTTCGTGAGACTGAAACACTCCGCGATACTTTGGCGCATTCTTCTCGTCGAGAAGATAAGAATGTCCGTGAGTCTGAAAGAGTCCGGGATGCTTTAGCACATTCCTCTCGTCGTGAAGATGAGGCTTTCCGTGAGACTGAAAGGCTCCGCGATGCTTTGGCGCATTCTTCCCAAGGCGAAAATGAGAATTTTCGTGAGATTGAAAGGATACGGGATGCTTTAGCACACTCTTCTCGTCGCATGGATCCAACATATCGTGTCATGGAGCAACAGCGGAATACATTAGAACACTCTATACATCGGGAAAATCAAGAGTATAGAGAAATGGAACGTACACGGGATGCTTTGGCGCATATGTCGAGAAGATCGAATCCTATTTTGCGAGCTGCAGAACAACGGCGAAACACCAACTCCCGAATCCAGAATGGAAATGCTAACTATAGACGCTCTTCGGCACACTCGTAGGATGTTAGAGGAATTTGACAATTACGTAAAAAAAGGACCAATCAGGTAACTTCTCTTAATATTTTAAATTTTACTAACTTACCACAGGTATTTTTTTGTCCGAAATATTTCCGTCGGATAGCAATGACTATAAATTTTGCAACACATGCATAAAAATAGTCAAAGGCGGAAAAGTACCCACTATATGCTTAAGCAATGGTTTACAATTTCCGGAAATTCAAGGCTCCCAGAATTCCATTTATGAGAATTGTCTCATTGGGATATAATCGTCAGTGTACTGTAAGAGGCGCAGTTGTTAATGTACGTATAGAAGTCGATAGTATAGTTAATGTCCTTCCGAGAACGTTTAATCAAACTGAAGTAATTCAGGTTCACCTAAAGCGTCAATTACAATATAATCATAGCTTTATGACGGAAACAATTCGCCCGGCAAAAATTATTGAAGCAATTCGTTATTTAATAAATACAGAATTGTATAGAAAACATCAAATTTCCATTTCAGAAGAATGGCTAAATAATGTGGAATTATCTGAGGAAGTTCCTTTTTTGGCGACGCTACGACCGGAGATGTGCACGTGTTGATAAGGTTCTATATTCTTACGAAAAAAGGTTGGATCCAATAGATATATTGCCAGGGATATGTTAGATGAAAACTACATACATAACCTGGTACAACATGACGAAGGATACCATATACTAAAAGGTATCAGATCTTCTCCGGCTCATTGGGAAGGAGAGAAAAAGAAAGTAATGGCAATGATTCGCCGATTTGGGCTTCCAACCTTATTTATCACTCTTTCTGCAGCAGAATCTCATTGGCCAGAGTTATTAGTAATTTTAGCAAAAGTAGTCGAAGGCAAAGACATAACTGAAGAAGAGGCTATGCTTTACACTACTCAGCAAAAATACAACCTTATCCGCACAGATCCCGTGACATGTTCCCGTTATTTTGATCAAAGGATTCGTCATCTTTTCAAACATTTTAAAGCCAGTGGTGGAGTTTTTGGGGACCATAAAGTAGTAAAATTTTATTGGAGAATTGAGTTCCAACAAAGAGGATCTCCACATGTTCATGGTATATATTGGCTTCAAAATGCACCATCGATTAATTTGAATGATACAAATACTTTTCCGCCCGTGGTAAGCTTCATTGGTAAATATATTACAACCGATTCGAATATACCTTATATTAAATTCCAGGAACATCACCACAGTAGAAGTTGTCAAAGAGACATAAGAGGACAATCAATTTGCCGTTTTCATATACCATATCCACCTATGCCTGAAACGAAAATACTTTTACCATTTCCCGAAAACACAGACAAAATTGAATTGAAAACTCACAAAGAAAATTTTTAATAAAATTCAAAATTTTTTGAATGCCAAATTTTCCGAGGCGGAGATAAACAATATACAAACATTTGACCAATTTTTAAATAATGACAAAATAAAATTGAATGTTGAAGATTACATTTTAGCCATCAGATCCTCTCTAAAAAACCACAAACCACCATTAACGCTTTCAACCCAAATATTTTAGCAATGCAAAGAGCTAATATGGATATTCAATTTATATTGGATGCCTATGCATGTGTGTCTTATATTGTCTATTACATTAATAAGTCACATAGAGGAGTTTCAAGATTGTTAAGCGAAGCAATGGACGAAATAAGGTCTGGAAATTTTACGGTTAAACAAAGACTTCAACACATTGGAAGTAAATTTATTTCTGCTTCGGAAGTTTCTGGTCAAGAAGCATCATACAACATTTTGGGAATGCATTTATCACAATGTAGTAGTTTATCACAATGTATTTTGTTATTGTAAAATGTGTGTTCTCACCCAACTCTCATTCAAAAGTCACTAAACGTGAAAAAAAATTCAACAGTCATGGTTTTTTGTTTAAGCAAAATGGATGCACTCTTCTAACTATCATCCGGAAGTAACTTAAAAGTATATTTCTAGAAGACGAAAATTCGAAATCAATGTATTTTGTTTTTGTAAAATGTGCGTTCTCGTCTGCCAATCGTCCAGAAGTGTTTCTGACGTGGCGTCTGGGGTAATGCGCAATAGTTTTGTCTTCTAAATGTTTGAAGGGACCGTACATCTTTGAACAAATACTTTATACACATACGCTAAAAATGTACGGAGCACACTAACATTGTTTTTAATGTTTTTGGACATGTACACTAACAGAGTACGGTACATTATATTTGTTCGTGATGTGCACAAACATTAAAAATAAGGTACAGTGCACTTTCCATGCGCGCTAAGTTTAAGGTATTTTTAGCGTACTTTTAGTGCACTATTTTATTTTTGAATGGACAAATGACAATGAAACATAAGTTAGAAAATTTAATTGATTTTTTAAGCATTTTGGATCTTTTCTAAATCTGTTTGGGTGTAATTTTTTGTAATATTTCATAAAATGCATTTTTAGCATCGATGTAGAAAAGATTATAATCTATATATATAAAAATGAAAGTGTGTTTGTATGTATGTATGTTTGTTTGTTTGTTTGTTTGTTTGTTTGTGCTTTATAGACTGCTAAACGGCTGGACCGATTTTCCTGAAATTTTCACAGTTTCTTCATGTATGTCTGGAAGGAATTATAGGCTACTTTTTATGTTGAAATTTCATGTGGGCGACGTGCCACGCCCATATTAAGAAAATATTAAATTAGTATATCTGAGATAATATAATAGTTAGAGTCTTCAAATTTTGTCGGAGCAACTTAAGTATCAATATAATTATTTAAGACAAAAAGTGGGCGGATTAGCATTAGGTGGCGTGGCACCTCCCATATAAATTAAATACAAAAATTTGTTTATCTTGGAAACTATTATAGTTAGAATATCAAAAATTTGCACGAGTAACTTTAACATCCATGTAAACATTTTGGGAAATAAATTGGCGGACTACACATGAGGGGAGCAGCACCTAAATACACAATTTGGTTTATCTGGGAAACTAATAGAACTAAATTATTCAAATTTTGCACTAAGAACTTAAATATTCATCTAAACATTTTGGAGAAAAAAGAGCGGACTTTCGTCGTGGGGGCCTTGGAGCCCCCATATAAATTAAATAGTAAAATTATTATATCTGAGAAACTATTAGAGCTGGAATCTTCAAATTTTAATTGAAGAACTTTGACATCCATGTGAACATTCAGAGAATAACGGGCGGACTTTCAATGGGGAGCTTGGCACCTCACATATGAATTAAATACAAAATTTCGCTTATCTGGGAAACCAATAAAACAAGATTCTTCAAATATTGCAAGAAGAACTTTATTATACATATGAACATGTTGGAGAAAAAAATGGCGGACATTCATCTGGGGGCTGTTAGTTCCCATATGAATTAAATAGAAAAATTAGTATATCTGAGAAACTATTAGAGCTAGAATCTTCAAATTCTACATGAAGAACTTTGACATTAATGTGAACATTTAGAGAATAACGGGCGGACTTTCAATGGGGTCTTGGCACCCCCTATATGAATTAAATACAAAATTTCATATATCTGGGAAAATATTAGAGTTTTTTTTAATTTGTCATCGATTACATTAAAATCTTAATTAACGTTCGGAAAAAATGCATCTCTGGGAAACATTACAGTTAGAATCTTCAAAATTATTAAGAAGATTTTTTATTTATATTGATTTTACTGGGTATAGCTAGTAAGGATATAAAACAAGTTAGAGTGCTAAATTTCTGCTGTGCCGAATATTCACCATAAAACTTTATAATATGCATTAACCGATTAATAAAGTCTATATAGCAGTTATGTACTTATTATCCTTGTTAGCCATGGGCTATCTAACTGTTTATATTACTTATTGAAATAGTTTATTTTTAAAAACTTCATGTTTTTAAAATATTTCAATTAGGTATACTATAACAGGTAATTTACTAATGCAAATTTAGATAAGATCTACCTGAAGCATAAGCAAAAGTGAGAAAGGGCTTAATTTAATTATACACAGGTAATTTGTATGTTTAGAAATTAGATAAATAATAGAAACTACCTGTAACTCCTAAATTTAAATTATCTTTGTACTTAAGCGAATGTCAAATCTGATTATAGTTTAGTCGAGAACATCATTTCAACATAATAACAAGATATGTATGTACAATTGAAGTGCTTTCACAAAATTAAATTTTAATAAATATACAAAACATATAACAATGGGTAAGTAATTATATAACAACTGATTAAAAATATATTAAAACTTTATTTATTTTTAGAAATATATTAACAAATATAAAATTCAATATGCCAAAACTACGAAAACAATAATCTGAACAACGTAGACAGCGTGTACGTGAGGCTGGATTCAACTACTATGAACGGAAAAGGGAAACTCACAGATTGAGAACTTCTCAAAGGAGCGCAACATTATGGCAAAACGAGGAATATTGTGAAAATGAACGTCAAAGAGACCGGATACTAAGATCCTTAAGAAGATCAGGATCAGCATATAGGAATAATGAACGTGAAAGGGATTCTTATGAACATTCTTCACGGCGCAGAGAAGATGAGAATGTTCGTGAGTCTGAAAGAGTCCGGGATGCCTTAGCACATTCCTCTCGTCGTGAAGATGAGGCTTTTCGCATTCTTCTCGTCGAGAAGATAAGAATGTCCGTGAGTCTGAAAGGCGCATTCTGCTTTGGCGCATTCTTCCCAACGCGAAAATGAGAATTTTCGTGAGATTGAAAGGATACGGGATGCTTTAGCACACTCTTCTCGTCGCATGGATCCAACATATCGTGACATGGAGCAACAGCGGAATACATTGGGAAAATCAAGAGTATAGAGAAATGGAACGTACACGGGATGCTTTGGCGCATATGTCGAGAAGATCGAATCCTATTTTGCGAGCTGCAGAACAACGGCGAAACACCAACTCCCGAATCCAGAATGGAAATGCTAACTATAGACGCTCTTCGGCACACTCGTAGGATGTTAGAGGAATTTGACAATTACGTAAAAAA